CTGTAGCCTTTTATCCCCAGTCTACCACAGTCACTAATTCACTTGATGTTAAAGGTTTCTGGAGAGTAGTATCTTTTAAGAATTCTGTTTGAAAAACTGAACAGCTGACCAAACCACCATTTTGACAGTGTATGTAGAACACATTTTATATGTAAAAGGCTGGAGGCATCCGTTTTACCAGATAAAATTTTAAGAATGTTTGATGGTAATGTTCTAAGAATCATCGAATGTTTGATAGTTAAGTGATTAATTATTAAGTGTTATCTATGGAATTTTCTTTCTTGGATTTATCTGACTAAAAAATGACCGAAGTTTAATTCTGGATTTCTTTGAGACAATTCAAAGAAGCATATATTATTAGTTAGCATATTGATTTAACTGTATATTGCTATTTCAGTGTGCTTTTCTTCTTGTAATAGTATATATTTGTCACTGACATGTATGTGTGAAGCTTGGGAAGAAATACTGATGCAAATGGATTCTCGTCTCACCAAGTTTGTGCAGGTAAAGTAGCTGAAGTTTCTGTGGAAGGGTTAAAAGAATATGTGATGCTCTTATCTTCTTCCTGAGGTAGATAAGAAAATAGGTCTGATCTGTTAAAGGGTGTCTAACCTTAAACACTGTTTTGTCAGAGAGAAAGGATATTTCCCACTAACAAAATGTGGGAGGGGATGTGGCCAGAGCAGGTGCAGCTTGAGGAATGAAGGTAGATACTTGGATGGCTGGTTAGCTGTTTTCTAGTCATTGATATTCAGTTGATCGCTTTAAGTAGGGGTTTGAAAGATTTGAAGGAAGATTAAGGAAATGATTAAGGATAGGAGTGTGCTCCTGTAATTTTGAATAAATAAGCTTCTAATAAAGAAATATATGTATCATGATTTTATGCATTTTTGTCTAGGAAAAAAACACAACTACGTCAGTGCAAGATGAATTCATGCATTTGCTGCTGTGGGGGAAGGCAAGGTAATAAACTCACACTGCCTCCTTTTAAAAAAGTAATTTTTATTTCAAAGATAATTTATACTCATTGTAAAAAAAAATAGAAAATTCTGGTGTACAAGAACAAAAAAATAGTACCAGTTTTTGTAGGCTTTTCTGTGCACATTTATTTTTTATATAAATGTGGTCATTGTGAATATATAATTTTTTAGTTATAAAAGCTTAAAAATTTTAAGTAGCTAAATCAGTCTTCTATAGCATCTGCCTTTGCTGTTAATCCTAAAAATACCTTTTGCATTTTGAGAATATTCAAAATTGAGCTGCGTTTTCTTCTAGAGCATTTTTATGGTTTATGTTTTATTCTGTTTATATGTTCCAGATATGATTTATTTGGATATATTTGTGGAAAGCTAACTACTTTTTTTATCTAAATGCTTAGTAATTGCCTAGTATAATTTATTGGATATTATACTTCTGATTGAAAATGCCATTTAGTCCATTCTCATAAATGCTTCAGTCTGTTTCTGAATCTTTTATTTCCTAATTTCTCCCTGTTCTGTAGTGAGTACAACAGTCTTCATTCTTCTGTTTTTTTAATTTATTTTGTTTAAAAAATGTTTGTACTTTGAATTCTGTATTTTTAAATGATGTGTTCAGACTTTGAGTAACGAAGACTAAAAAGGCTTCTTGTTTTTTCATTGTAGTGCTGAACTTCAGACCCTGTTAATGAACCAGTTAACAGTAAAGGTGAAGTTAAAGTATCTCTGTATTTAAATGGTTACAAACACATTCTTTTTTTTTTTTTAAAGATTTATTTATTTATTTATATAAGCACTGGGTATAGTCAGAAGCACGGGAGGGTGAGAGAATTCACTAGAGCCAGAGCAGGGAGCAGAACAGGCAGACTGACGAAATACACTGCTGAGAGGAGCAGTGGGTGCTGCAGGAGAGGTCTGCGCGCCATGTGGGACCCTCACCCGGCAGCCAGGGATCAAACCGGCGCTGCAGAGGTTGTGGGCAGCTTTGCAACCCAGCACTCAACCGCTGCGCCACTGGGGAGGCCCACAAATACATTCTTAATTAATTTGTTTATAACGGCACTGTGTAGCCCAGGAGTATGCTAAATGTGTTTTCTTCTCTTAATTAGGGTTTAAAAAAGCTTGGCCAGTCTATAGAATCATCATATTCCAGTATACAAAAATTGGTTATAAGTCACTTGCAGAGGTAAGAAGTGATGTAGGATATTTTGGTATTTGGTCTACATACGCTGGACAGTGGTCCTCTTTCTACAACTTTCCTATTGTCATCTGGCATTCTCTTTGAGCTTTGTGAAGCTAAAATTGTTTGTGTTGGCATTTGATGGGAATCTTGGAGTACTCAAGATTGAAAGAATCAGTAATGGTGATTCTGCATTATAAAAGAATTTTCCAACAAGCTAGGCCCTGTCTAGGCTTTTTTTCTCCTCTAGATAATCATAAGGTATATTTTGAAAGAGGAGCTAGATTCTTTTTTGAGCAGTGAAGTGAAATATGTTTATAATATCACCTTAAAATTAACACATTGTATAATTTCTCATCTGACACCTTGGCAAGGTGTTGGTTGTGATTATTGTCATTGTAAGAAGAAATGAAGTTCATTGTAAGAAGAAATGAAGTTCAGAATGATTGGTCCAAAGTTGCTGAGTGTGAGAGACATGACTGTCCCAGTGCTTTGAGTCTCAGGCTGTTTCTACACAGCTACCTTCATGAAGCAGTCAGCAGTTGGATGCTCAGTGATTCAAATTGTGATGTATCGCTTTATGCTGAGTCCCTGGCCCAGTTGCTACCCCCACCTCTCTCATGGATTGCCATTGCCTAGGACCTTCTATCCTAGGCGTATGCTAAATGTATTTTCTTCTCTTAATTAGGGCCTCCCATCCACACTGTGCCCTCAAATGTGTTCTCCACTCTAAAACTGATCAGATTACTCTTTAAGCTTCTTTCCATGACTCCTAGGGGCAAGGCCTTTGTGTGGCCATCAGCACACCTGCCTCAGCTCCACACAAGCTGGTGACCCTCTCAAGCTTGACATCTTGTTTCCTGCCTAAGGCTTTTGTGCATCCCTCTTGCCTCTGGAATATTTCAATCTTGCTTTCCACCCTAACCCCCCAGATTAGATCAGGTGCTTCTGTTTTACCTGCTCCCTGTACCAAGGGCTTTCTGATAGTTGGGCCTTACAGTGTCTGTGGTTCTGACCGTCTCCCCCATTAGACTGTCAGTGCTGTGGGGACCCTGTCATTTTGTTCACTGTCATGTTCCTAGTGTCTAACACAGTGCCTGATCTGAAGCCTGACCTTAATAAAATTAATAACTAAATAGACGTTGAATGTATAGCTGTTGGGTAAATGACATGACCACACAAGTATCTTATGGTTACGTATTCATCTCAGGAATCAGGTGACACAGTGATTCTGCTACAGGTTTTGGAGATAATTTTGAGAGATAATTATTTCTCATAGAAAGAAAATGAAAGTTCTTGTCAGTATTTTGTTTCTGGTGGAAATGTCCAGGCAGTTAGTCCTGCCTGTCGCCTTGGTGATGGTGGTGGCACTAACTTATTTCTACTCCATGTCCATAGTGGCTCAGAGTCTTTATTGTACCATTTGAGTGAACTGAAAGGAATGGCTTCATGGAAGCAAAAATATGAACCTCTTGGACTAGATGCTGCAGGAATTGAAGGTAGTAATTTAATTTCTCAGTAGAGTCTATCAATCACATTTACTTGACAAATGGTGTGTGTGTGTGTGTGTATGTATGTAGCTATATAATGTGTGTATATATATATATATTTTTTTTTTTTTTTTTTTTTTTTTTTTCCTCCTCCAATAGATGCTATTACTGCTGTGGGCTCTTTCATACTCAAGGCAAATGAACTTCTCCAGTAAGTATTGGGAATACCTAGAATCACTGACCTGAGAATTTTTCACTTTTGGCTTTCGAACCTAGCATGTTATTGCTATTTTCTTAAAACAAGTTTTAAAATTTAAGTTTGTAAATGAATTTAGCAAAATTATTCCTCTTCATATTGAAAACAGACCAGTGGCATAGCAGTTTCATAAAGCAAAGCAGTATTTTCCTGTCCCACCCCATCCTCCCAGGTCTGGGGAAACTAGAGGGAATCTTTTTAACTCATAACTGTTTCTGTTTTTAGTTCTTCTGTAGGTTACCTCTGTATTTGTAAATTGTGTGACTACTGTATTCCTGTTGTTTATCAGTATTTCAAAGTTCTCTGTGTTTCTTTTTTTTTTTTTTTTTTAATTTGTCTGCACTCTGCTTTTTTCCCCTTGCAGTGTCTGTCAGTGTCACTTGCACTCTCTCCAGTCACACTGGCTGGCGCTGCCTTCTCTACACGCCGCCTTCTCTACCCGCCCTCCCCTGAGTCGCTGGCCCATAGCCGCCCCACAGGCATTTCTTCATTGCTTCATGATTAGATCAGGGTCTCCTGTTTCCTGGTTCAGTTAATCATTTTGCTAGAAAATTTCCTTCAGTGATGAGAGAAGGAAGGATAAACTTCCTGAGTCCTTTTGTGTCTCTTCTCTCCAGTGACTACAGGATCTAAAGGGGAAGTCATTTTCTCATAAAGCTTCCAAAGCAACTTCATTGCTTTTTGTTGCTAACGAAAGTCTGTGCTTGTGATTCTTACTCCTTTTTATTCTTTATTCTTGACATGTTGAGATTTAGCAAGTAGCTAATGTGGGGTGGGGGACAAATGGTTAACAAGACCAAGATTGTTGAACTGGGGACCGTGTATTGAATTTTCTCTCCAACAGTCCTGTCTTAATTTCCACGAGTGTTTTTCTTGTTTCTTTAATTCTTTTTCAAAATTATGCTCCTGCTTTGTGGATTTGACATCTTCTTAAATCTCAGACGACTTTCATTCATGTTCTTTTGAAAGTCTCTGCTCTTCCTTGAATTATCTCCACTTCCTGGTCACTTTTCTGTTTTTCTTGGTGTCTCATTGCACGCTTCCCTCAGCATCTGATGTCTCTTATTTGCTCATATTTACCCATGCGGCGATTTAATGTTGCTCATGTGGGGCCAGTGGACAGTCTATGTGGAGTGGCAGAAAGCAAGCTTTGCTGTGGTTGGTCTGTGCTGCCAGACCTGCCTGGCTCTTCAGTTCATTGTTTCTTTGGAGAACCCTGTTGGGTTTTGTATGGAAGGTAAACTCCAGGCATTCATGTTTTCTCTGGAAGAATGTACTGACCACGCTGCATTCAGTGTGTACCTGGCTCAGCCTTGCCTACTGCCCTGAGGCCTTCTGTTGGCTGGCATCAAGGGCCCAGTGTTCTGGCCTCTGTGGGCGGTGCCTCCCGGCCGTGACCATCACTGATGAGCTCCTTGAGTCACCACCAGTGCTCCGTGGACGTTTGACATTTCTGATGTTTATTTGAATTCTTTTCTGCTGTCCTTGTTTTTGTGAGTTTATCACACACGCCCTCCCCACCAGCCCCTGTTATCTTGATGGTGGTGTGTAAGTTAGAGGTGATGGATGCTTGTGTTCAGAGGACAACATGAGAGAATAATACTGCTTTTTCTGTATGTGAAATTATTTTTGTTTCACCATATTTGCTGAAAGTAAATAGCAAATATTAAGCTTTCTGTGATCACCTTTCAATATGAATGAAAGGTAGTTTATTTAACTTCTTTGCAGTGAGAGTACTATATTTTTATTTTAGGTTATAGATTTATTATAACCTAATAAAGTGAGCAGTGAGCATTTTAATGTTAACCTGGGTGAAGGGTGAGAATATTGATTATAAAAGACAGAAAGGAACTTGGTTTCTTTTTTTAATTTTTTGCTGTAATAGAGTTTTACTCCTATTGCTTGATAGCATCAGAGTTGTCCGGCCTGTTCCTCTAAGTGTTTTACTGGGCACAGAAAGTTTAACCATGCTGACCTGCCTCTCCATTAGTATCAAGGAACTCACTTCTGGTCGTGTGGGAAGGGGCTTTGAGATTTAGGGATGAAAGTGCTGGTGTGATTTGCTCAGAGTAATTATGGATGTGAGCTTAAAGAGGTGCTTAGTCTTAATGATCCCATATCTATATTCAGAAACACGTTCATCAAAATAAAGATGACTTCATTTATAACACTTGAATGTTTGGGGTATATTTATGTAAGCCCAGGGAAATTCAATTTTTGAGGTCTCAGTTTTGTAAAGATCAAAAATTGACTTCTAAAACGAATGTCCCTTGATATCAGGGCTAAGGACATAGTATAAATTTATAATAATAATTTTCTGTTGTGTTTTTTTATTTATTTTACTGACCAATGAATTTTTTTAAACTGAGAATAATGCTGAAGACTATTTTTCTGATTTTTTTTTATTGCAAAGTTAGAAAAGGATTTCACACTTTACTAAATGCTAGAGAAGACTATTATACAGTTTGTGGCAAGGCTGTTATCAACCAGTTGGAAAGTAAGCTGTTTGCTTTACTTTTGAAAAGAATCAGATTTTGCTCTTTGGAAATTTTATTTTTAGGTATGTGTTAGATCTGTAAAATCTGCTGTTTTAAAGGCTTGAATGTCATCCATACAGGGTAAAATAGGACACTAAGGATTAATATGTCCCACAACAGTTGAGCTGTGATCCATGACCCCCACATAATAATTTCATTTCTGATTTTATCTTTTTTAGAGTTATAGATAGTAGTATGAAAAACTTCAAAGCATTTTTTCGATGGCTCTATGTGGGTAAGTTAATTGAATGAAGCATTGTTGTTATTTTAACATTCAAAAGTTGTGTGAGTGTTGACTTGGAATATTTCAATTATTCCAGTAGTTTTAATACTGACAAAAGTACAAGAGAATATAGATGAACCCCCTCTGCCCTTTGCCCAGTTTCCACAGTCCCCACACATGCCCAGTCTTACTTCCATAGACCCGCACATCTTCACCTCCCCACAGAAATAACTATGTGAGCCCTGATTGTCACTCACTGAGAGTTAACCCTTTTTTATCTTGTGATGTCTCCTGAAGTTCAAATTTTTGAGTCCTTGTTATGTAATAGGCACTGTCAGGCACTGTCAGATTTAAAAAAGAGAGAGAAAATGAGACACAACCTCTGCCCTGCAGTAGCTTATCTCCTCTTTTATGCTTTGTCTTCTGTCTCTAGAGCCTGTTTTCCATGATGGTAGCCACTAGCCATAGGTAGCTATTTAAATTAGCTGAAATTGGATAAAACAGTATATTCATTTCTTTAGTCATGCGAGCCACATGTGAAGGGCTCAGTAGCCATGCATGCTTGTAGGCCACCTTGCTGGACAGCAGAGAGCTAGAGCGTTTCCATTGTAACATCTGTTGGACAGCATTCTTTCAAATAGCATGTGGGCTACTTGTGGACTTTCTGTGGCCCCCACAGTGTCATTTCATTGGTAGGTAGTTAACAAATGTGTATTTACTTGATACGTCTAATGCTTCCTCTACAGTAGGTGCATATTTTATTTAGGCCCATTGGTAGTGCTGTTTTTGTGTCCTTAGTATCTTTGAAGTAATCCAGCATACATTTCCCTCCAACATAGGCATTATTTAGTCGTAGATAGGATTTATCCCGTATTTGTTAAAATAAGGGATGCTGAAGAGTAAAATAGAAAGTGAAGTATCTATAATGTGCTAACATCCTTTAAACACATGCACAGATCTTTCAGTTAAATTTAAAAACAGACTTCATATTTGTCAGCCTGAAAATACTTTTGATTAAAATAAAAGAATGCTGTTAATCTTGACATTGAAAATTCTTAGATTTTTTTTTTTCCCCTCAAAACTGTACCAACACTAACCAGAATGGGGAGCCAGAGTGTTTATCAGGCTGGCCTGTTTAATATCAGAGTAGTTAATGAGAATAAATTAATAACACTGAATGAGATCTGAAAAATAATCTTCTTTTACAGAAGTAGTAGTTTGGTTTTACTCATAATTGTCGGCACTAAAATTTCTAGTTAGGCAGTTTATATTCTTACTGCATATCCTAACCGTACTAGGAAGCAGCACGGGAAGAGAAATGAGTCACTGCTCAGGGCTCGTTGCTAGAGCAGGGCATGATAGAAAGCACGAGGGTCAAGGCCTCGTCATGACACCGGCTGTGCAGCCTGCTCTGCTTGTCTGTAAATGCAGTCTCCACATGCGTGCATGGGGGCTTCTTTCGTGTAACTAATGCCTAGTGTCTGTTATATGCTGGTTAAGTAATTTTTGATGGCCACCTGAGTGCAGGGGGAAAACTAGATTATGACTTTTTTCCAGATGATTGAGGCCTTCTGAATTAATTAAAAAATTTTTTTTCTTTTAATATTTATATATATGTATTTTACATCATTGTTCATTTTTGTACAATGTATGCTTTCTCTTCTCAGGCGTTTTGAATTAATTAAAAGCAATTTATATGCACATCCAACTTGCATGTTCCTGACCCAGATGTAATTAGGAAACACATTCATGCAAAAGCTCATGCAGCATACTTCTTGACTTAGGTGGGCATAATATAAGAAGCATGGTGCTATGAAGACAGAGTAAACCACAGGTGTTAAAGTACACACATATACACATATGGAAGTGTGTGTGTATGTATGTATTTGTGCAGATATCTTCACATAGCAATAATGCCCAAGGGAAAGAAACACAGTTGTCTTTTTTTTTTTAATTTTTTTTTTTTCTTCAAAGGTTTTTTTTTTTTGTAAGATTTATTTATTTATTTATACAAGAACTGGGTACAGTCAGCAGCGCGGGAGGGTGAGAGAATTCACCAGAGCCAGAGCGGGGAGCAGAGCAGGCAGAAGGACCGAAGTACACTGCTGAGGGGAGCAGCGGGCGGCAGGAGAGGTCTGCGCGCCATGTGGGACCCTCCTCCGGTGGCCAGGGAGCAGCCGGGGATCGAACTGGTGCTGCAGAGGCTGCAGGTAGCTTTGCAACCCAGCGCTCAACCGCTGCGCCACTGGGGAGGCCCAGAAACACAGTTGTCTTTTATTCTAAGGCTTTTGGAGGGAAGAACTGTTTGCAGACTTTATGCGAAGACACATCACCAGTTAGAAGGAATCCCTGCATACAGGGTCTTAGTATAAGACAGTAGTTAGATTTGCCTGGAGTGGTAACAGGTTGAAATGATAAGAAAATGAGAAATAATAGTTGAGAGTAGTTAAACCAGTCATTTGAACCTGGCAATATCAACCAAGTTTAAATTCTTCACCCGTTAGATTTTATAAGAAGTTTTTGTTGGTGGATAGAAGCTGTTGAAAATTGAAGGTTTAGTTGAGTGAAACACATTTAATCTTTGAAATACATTAATAATTAAAATTCTGGTTTTCCTTTAAAATTCATTTTTACATTTCTATTTCCAGCAATGTTGAGAATGACAGAAGACCACGTGCTCCCCGAACTGAATAAGGTAGTGTTTTCCGCATGTGTTTGTGCTCAGTGTGCTGGTCATCTTGGTGCTCTTAGATAGTGGCTGCTGAATACATGTCAGACTCGAGCCTCTAGACAGATCTCAATAAGCCTCTCTAAAAATGAAATTTGCATATTTTATATATTTATTTTCATGTTTGCACAAGGTTTCATAATCCACATAATGTGGAATGCTTATATTCTTTACTTTAGCTTCCGTAATTTTTTTTTTTTTTTAAGATTTATTTTTTTATTTATACAAGCACTGAGAACAGTGAGAAGTGCGGGAGGGTGAAAGAATTCACCAGAGCCAGGGCGGGAAGCAGAACAGGCAGACTGACGAAGTACACTGCTGGGGGGAGCAGTGGGCACAGCAAGAGAGGTCTGCGCGCCATGTGGGACCCTCACCAGCAGCCAGGGATTGAACCGGCGCTGCAGAGGCTGCAGGCAGCTTCGCAGCCCAGTGCTCAACTGCGGCGCCACCAGGGAGGCCCTAGCATCTGTAATTCTTAAATGCATTTTTATTTTCCTTGGAAACCTAGTACTTAGTAGCAGTAGTGCTGTGTTGATGTCTGTTAAGTAACAGTTTCTTTCTGCTCCAAGTATTGTGCCAAGTGGGGATAGGGTCTTCTTCCAGGTAGACCTTAGAAAAGTAGGGCAGAGTTCTTGGTTCCTGTGACTTACTCATCCTTACCCCTACCCAAACTATGTGATTCAGATTACCTAATCAGATAGATTAGGTAATCTGACCCTGAGGAAGTGTAAAGCTTTAAAAGTAGCCTGGGTAGACTTGATGAGTAAGTATCCACTGTCTGCATTTCTTACTCTAGTAGATCTTTTGCACTGTGCTTTATGGCCAGTTTCCCTTGCAAATTAGGGAGTTCACATTAATTATTTCTCAGACATCTCTCTTAGCTTTATTTTGGGAGATACAGTATGCTAATTATTGGGAGGATCTCAATGTGATTTTGAGGGCTAAAGGACTGCGCTGGCCTGAAGTCAGGGTCATCGTGCAAAGCAGAGGCCAGCGCTGCTTACTCCAGTGCTGTTGAGTTGCAGGCCTTCACCTGATTGTGGTTACTATCTGGGCTTCCATTGCCCCTTTCTCAAAGGAGGGCCCTTATCCAGTTGGTCTTAGCAGGAGCCACTAGGTAATGAACTGACATCCTTAGGCCATAAGCACTTCTGTAGTTCTGGATTCACTGATTGGAAAATGCCTTTCATATGTTAATGACATGCCTAAGGATTTCATATTTTCACAGTTGCATAATCTGAATTTTTGTTGATATTTCTTCAAAGGAACTTTACCTGATTTTCCCATGACTTTTAGTGGATAGTAAAAAAGTCAATTGTTATTATGTATTTCCTTCATTGAAAGTGTTCTTTCATATGGATCTGTTTCTCTTTTATTTCTTTTGGTTTTTGATAGATGACTCAAAAAGATATCACATTTGTTGCTGAATTCCTTACTGAACACTTCAATGAGGTAAGAAGTTGGTATTTTAAATACTATTTTTAAAAAATAATTGCACTAAACCTGGATAATGGTTAAAAAAAAGTAATCAAATTTCATTTATTTTAGTTGACGTTAACAATTATACTTTTTAACCATTGAGTGAATTAATGGCAGTACTTTATTTATTAAACATAAAGTCTCTAAATTGAACTTTTGTTTCCATGTCTTACAATCTATCAAAGAGAAGAATAACTGTCATTAACAACGCTCTTAAAAAATAGTTTTTGGTTTGGGCCTCCCCTGGTGGCGCAGTGGTTGAGCGCTGGGTTGGGAGGCTGCCTGCAGCCTCTGCAGCACCAGTTCGATCCCCAGCCACCGGCGAGGGTCCCAAAAAAAAAAAAAAAAAAAAAAAAAATAGTTTTTGGTTTAAATTTAGGAGTTTTTTTTTGCTCTTTCATTCTTGCTTTGACTTAAAATTAAACTACGTTTGTATTCTTTCTAGGCTCCAGACCTCTATAATCGAAAAGGAAAATACTTCAATGTTGAAAAAGTTGGTCAGGTATGGGCTTTCAGTTGAACTTGTGACTTAATTTTTAAAACTTTAATGGTAGTAGTTTGTAATTTAAAGTTCATGTAAAGTTACTCAGTGTCAAGTTCTATAGCAACCCTACCCTTTGAGTAAATAAAGAGTAACTTGTAAGAGCTAAAAGGGTCTCAAAACCTTTTTATTTATGTGTACAAGAGCTGGGGCACAGGCCAGAGATGTGGGGGGGTGAGAGAATTCACCAGAGACAGATCGGGGAACAGAACAGGCAGACTGACTGAAATATACTACTAAGGCTAGCAGCACATGAGACAGGAGAGATCTGCTTTGCCATGTGAGTTGCTCCCTTGCGGGCCGGAGATCGAACTCATGCTACAGAGGCCTTGGATTGCTTCACAGTACGGTGCTTAACCCCTTGTGCCACCAGGGAGGCCCTATAGTCATAATAATTATTGAGGGCCACAGATAACTTTTGTGTAGGTTACATCTATTGAGGGTAGATATTGTATATTACAGATTAAACAGAATTAACAATTATTTTAAAATAAGCCCACTTAAAATTACATGTAAATATTTTTAATGAAAACTGACTATATAGGACAAAGTTATTTAGTGAAGAGTTGCATTGTTTTTATATTTTTTACAAATCTCTTTGATGTCTGGCTTTCATAGAAGACAGATTTTTATATCTGCTTCTGTATTCAATCTGTTGTGGTAATGTGTTTTCATTAAGTATATGTGAAGAAAATATGGCCTTATGCAGGGTATTTGGAGAGAGGTATTACAATAGCTTTTTCAGGTAATTGTGGATATTATTTGATAGCACACCAACTCTTGTTTCTGTGTAGCTTCGAAAATCGCATTAGTGAACTTTTCATCTTTAGATATGTTAAAATCCATTCACATCAGGTCATGCACTTTGAATGAATTCTTTACCCATGCATAATTTTGTAATATGTATTGGTTATTTGGAAAATACTAGTTCACTGAGTTATGCAGATGTACAAACTGCTGATACCTTTCTTCATACGGTTTTCAAAAGTCAGATTTCACTAATATCACTAGTCTCATCAGAAAATTGTTTTTATTTTAAATGGGTTATATTATTCAAATTAGTGTTTTGTTTTTAATTGAGGAACATTGTTTTACAATACTTTGTGATTCAGAAGCATAAAATCACACCTCTTCTGATGTTGTCACCACATCACACCCACCAGCGGGGCACCTGCCATCCTCCACCATAGTCCTTTGTGCTCCCCGTGTCACCCCCCCCCACCCCCCAGTTCCCAGACTTTGTTTTCTTCTCTCTCCCTCCCCATCTTGTAGTCTCAATTCCATAGTCAAATTTCGAGTGTTTCTTGTCTGACCCTTTGTTTTGTTTTTCTGTATTCCACATATAAGTGTGGCATTTGTCTTTCTCCTTCTGATGTATTTTGCTTAGCATTATCTGCTCCAGTTCCATCCATGGAAAGAGTTCGTCTTTTTTTATAGCTGAGTAGTATTCCACTGTGCATATATACCACATTTTTCTAATCTACTCCTCTCTTCTAGAGTACTGATGTTGTTTCTGTAACTTGGCCGTTGTAAATAGTGCTGTAGTGAACATAGCATATTAGAAGCTTTTCTTGCTTTCTTTTTGTGGTTGATTTCTACTTGGAATACATTGAGATTAGAGAATATATTTGATATGATTTCAGTGTTTGTGAGTTTATTGACATTTGTGACCCAGCCTGTTGGCCTAGCCTGGAGAATCTTTTGTGTATA